GGTTACTACAAAAAAATGTTCAGGATTAATTTGGCAGTTTGATGGTGCTGCTGCATTGGTTTGAAGAGGGTTGGGATGGTGAGTGCTCGGCAGAGGAGGCAGCATGGCCAAGGAAACAGAAGCCCTGGGCAGATAGAGATGCTCTAGTGCTGCCATTGGTTTGGTTTCTGTGGATGAGCTGTCCCGTTGTCCTGACAGCCCCTGGGGTGTGGACTGCCCTGGGCTCCAGCAGCATCCTGCCCCATTTTGCCAAAGGCCATATACTGCAGAGCTCCAGACGTGAGGGCAGACCCATGGGTGCCATGGAGGGTGTGGAAATGATTCAGCATTTGATGGGAGTAAGATGCCCCTTAAGCTCAGGTTTGAGCTCCTGATACTAGCTGTGCCTGCAGGTTTCTCTTTGCCAAGTAGTCATTTTGCTTCACATCCAATGCACACCCTGCCTGGGGTGGTGTTCCAGGAGAAAAGCACCTGCACTGCTGAAGGAGAAGACTAGCAGGGGGAAATAAGATCCTGCTTGTGCAAATCTAATAACAGGCTGCAGCCATCCCAGGGCTCAGCCTGTCCCCTCTGCTGGCTGATCCTTCCTTGGCAAGTATGGCTGAGGACATCTGATGGACAAGGATGTGATGCCCATCTAGCAAGATCCCAGCAGTGCATGTGTGTACCAGCTGCTTTTGTTTGCTCTAAGAGAACTCAGGCACACATTCATTATCTCCTCAAGGGATACTTTCTGTTTCTCATCAGTGTTTTCTTCCCATCCTGAGCTTTGTCTCCTAATGCGGATGTACACCTGGCTGGTTGGAGCAGCTAGAAATCTCCAAACCAGCGGGGAGTTTATTGAACTGTGGAGTTGTTCTGCTGGTCATTACTGAGGTTGGATAAGGAATATGACCAGGAAAACCTAGGCTTGTACAGGTAAATTGCCTTCCTGCAGCTGGAGAATGGGGTTGGATGAGCTTTCCAGTGCAACAGAGAGAGCAGCCTGAGCAGTGCTTTCAGTAGGGACACTTCTGAGCTACTTCTGAAGGCCACTGCAGTTTGCAGAAACTCAAGCCTCTGGTTAACATCACGCACCTGATGTCTCCAAAACTCCCTGTCCTGTGCCCAAAGAACCCTGCTGGCATTTGCAAAGGCAGATCTCTGAGGGGGAGTGAGAGAGAGGCTGCTGGACCATGTCCATTTCTGCTGTGTCAACTCTGAAAGGGCAGTGCTGGCAAACTGCTCTGACCTTTTGAGCTGTGATGAGCTTGAGTGGCTGTGCCTGTGGTGCCAAGTTCCCTGTCCTCCAACGCAGGGAAAGGGGTCGGTGGCTGCTAAGTAAGACATCTTTTTGCCTACATTTATTTGAGCTGCTTATTGCTTTCTCTTAGACTTTGTTCTAGTTTGGACTAGATGGTGCTGGGCAAACACCAAGAGGGAGCAGCGAAGACCAGTACCTCTTCAAGGGATTTCCAGCTTACCTTGGGAGAGGGACTCTCCCAGTGCATCTTCACAGATGCTGCATTCTCCAGTCCTAAAGAAATCCTCATATCGTTTTTTGCAAGTGTTGTATGTCTTCAGTGTGGAGTCCCACATTGCTGACAGTGCCTGGCCCTGGAGAGCAGGACAGGGAGGCAGGAGGCACCTGGTGCTCTGCCATTGCAGCAGGCCTGGCCCTGTCCTTCCCCTCCACACAAACTCCTTGGGGGAGGCTGGATCCTGCCTCTGCGCACACACCATGGGCGGCTTGGCTCTGCTGGGAGCCTGCACAGCACTGCACCATCAGCTCAGGTGAAGCTCTAAGGAGAGCACGGGGCTCCCAACGGCATCTCCATCCTCCTGACCTTGGCAAATGCTGTCACTTTGTGCTGGATGTGTGCTGGTACCAGCTCTTCTCACTGCTCTGCCTCTCCGGGTCCTCCTGGGTTTCTCTTCATGCCCCAGGCACTGTGTGTGTGACGCCTGGAGGGGAGGAGGCGTGTGATCAGCCCACGGTGTGGAGAGCAGAGATGGGGACAGCCCCATGGCTGTGTCTGGGGACTGGGGCAGCAGCAAGGTAAGAGTGGGACAGGAGCTCCTGGCAGTGACAGAGGGGTAAGGGTGGCTTGTGAGCTTACAGCTGCTTTCCCAGCTGAGGGGGTGTTTCAGCCAGGGAGTCCACACATGGAGGTGGGGAAGTAACAAGGACGTCTGTAAATTGTGGAGACGAGCTCCCTGGCAGCACAGAACAGCAGGTGTTTCTCACCAGCAGTCATCCCTGTCTTACCGTGTGCTACCGTCACCAGGTCAGGTCACAGGAGGGTTTCCAATTAACCCAGCTCCCTGGTGGCCCTTAATTGGCACCCCAGGCTTTCCTCCTCCTCCTTCCTCCCTCACCTGTACATCTGCTTCTGGCATCCCCATCGTTGCTGGGAACTGGTGGCAGTAACCCAGATTTGTCCCCTAAATCAAAGCAGCAGCCACCCCCCTGCCTTGGAGCACCATCCTGAGGGTATGCCTGCTTGGTCCCCAGCACCAGGCTGTGTGGCTGGAGGGGGCTGTTTGCACAGGGCTTAGGATGGGTAAGGGCCTCAGTGCAGGGGGGCTGGGAAGGGTTTTTAGGTGGTTACTTGCTAGGATGGCTCAGGATGGGGAGGAGATGGCTGATGCTGTTTCCTCAGCTTGCCGTGACAGAGAGCACTGGACTGGGCACATTTAACCCTTCAAGTGCTAGTCCCAGAGATATGCCATGTACCTGGATGACCAGAATGGCTGTGGCACACAGCATGGGCTGGTTTATTGTCCTGTCCAGGGTTTCCTGCTTTGCTCTGTCTTAGCACAGGGTTTGGGGTGAGTCCTGGGGATGTTTCAGGCTGCTCTGCATCACTGCAAGGGCTTTGGGCATTGCTGGTACCCACTTGCTGTGTGTCCTCCTCCGGTTGGGTCATCTCAACCATGGGCTTGTCCAATGGATTTTTATCCTGCTGCCCTGGGAACAAAACGGTGTCATACCCTGAAGCCCATTGACTCCCTACAGATCTCTCCCCACAACAGCCCTGTCACCAGGGTCTCAGCAGCTGCCCAGCACACCTGCACGAGAGGAAAGGTGATGCCCCAATCAAGACATGGAGTCTGAGCAAGAAAGACATAGGAGCTCTTGAGCAGGTGCCTGCCCTGGGAAAAGCTGAATGCCAGCAGGCAGGGAAGGGCTCATGGCTGGGGCAGAGGGCACAATGGAGAGCTGAAGGCTCTTGTAGAGAGAGGAGATTAAGTTGCAGCATCCCGTGTGGGAGAATGAAGCACCTGGGCTCTACCTCATTGGAGACAGCCTGGCTGGGGTTGGGCACGGCCGGCCCAGAGGTGCCCGTGGGGCTCTCCCAGCCCAGCTCCTCTGCCCCCCGGGGGTGGGGCCAGCCAGCCGGGGCCTGTCCCTTTTAAGCCCTTGGAGCTGTTGCCAGCCGTGGCTTAGTGGGGTCCCCATCCTTTCAACTGGCTGTTCGGCAAATTAAGAGCTTGCTATTAGGCTGCTAATTAAAGGCACTTCATTAGCAGCAGGGGAGGCAGCGCCTGGCCGCAGCAAAATTGGATTCCTCTGAGCTGCCGTGAACCCAGCCTCTCCTCTCCGGGGCTGCACCCTCCGTGTCCAGGGACGGCAGCTGCCCCTGGG